AATTTTATAAACATAAACATTAATTTATAACTAGATTGTTGAGATTGCAATCATATCTTAAACAATAAACAATAAGCAAGTCCTTTAAATATATAGTATTACTTAAATCTTTTTATATCAACTTCCCACTTCAATTTTTTATAATCCGTACATGTAATACAATTGAATGTATGAAATTAATTGCACAATAACACAATTTTTTTAATTGTTTATCTCATAATACAAATTTATTGAACCCATTATTTCATATTATTTGCATACTATTAGTGAAAGAATGCATTAATATTAATATTAATATGTAATATATATTTAAACATCAAGAGTTGTTGAATCTCGTTTCATGTGTCACAAATGTCTTGTATAATGAAAAATATAACATTAGTCATTAATAAGGATGAAAAATGGCCTGCGGCCTATAAGCGGCTCGAAACCCACCCAGGCTCAAGTGGACCCAGCCTGCTTAAGCCCCAGCACGGGCCCGGCCTAGGACACTAGGCTTGGGCCTGGGTCGTCATTTTGAAGCTTAACCTAGCCCGTGGGTCTGGCCCGCCCAAGGCCCAATGTTATTTTTAGTGGAAAAGAATAAAATTTTAGTAGAAGAAATAAAAAATGTTTAGGCCCACCCAAGCCCAGGCCAAGCCCGAGCCTAGGCCCAAATACCCCTTGGACTTGGACCTAATTTTCTAGCTTATGGTCTGGCTCTATGATGGCGGTGTGATGGTGGCAGCAGCGTTAAAAAGAGTTGAAATGACAAACTTCTAATATTATTAAGTAAAAAGACCAATAAAATGAAAAAAAAAATGAGTGGAAAGAGAATAGATGAGGTTGGAACCCCTTCTCATCCCAGCGACATGCCCAACAAAAGGCTTAGGGAGGGAAGCTTAGAGAGAAATGCTCTGAGTTTAGAGTTAGTTGTTTTTAAAATGCAAAATGTTTCTTTATGGAAAATTCTATGGCACAGAAATTGTGGTCTTTGGTTGTTATCTATTAAAGTGTTGGTCATGACTTTTGACTTGTTATATGCATTGTGATTTTTTTCATGTTATGTGGAGACTCGTATCCTTCACGTATAGAGATTTTTTCTATCCTTTTAGGATTTATTTTGTGTTTTGATATACTTTATAGAATGACTTATTATTAGATATGTAATATATTAAATTTTTATATTTTTTCATAAAAAAATCATTACGTTTACTTTTGATATTTAATTAAATTAGATGATAATTTTAGCCCAAAAAAATTATATTTCTACGAAAGGATTTTATTAAACAGCCCAAACAATAGTAAACTTGTTTGGTCAAGAAGTGCTAGGGGCTAGGTTAATGTAACTGAAATAATAACAATAAATGAGTCTCTTTTTAAATTAGAGTTTAGGGTGGGAGAGGATGGACATTGGATTAAGGGAGATAATTAATTGAAGGTTTATAAAATATATTTTGGAATCCACTAAGGTTTCGTTTGGGAAGCAAGTTGACTTTTTAATTTTTTGGCTATTTTAGTTTTGGACTAAAAATCTTGTTTGGGTTAGATTTTTTGGCTTTTTAATTTTTATGAGAAAAAAAGTGAAATAATTATGATTTTGATATAATATTTTGTCTTATTAATTTTTTAGTTTATTTTTTCTTTTTATGATTATTTTAACCAAAGCACTCCAACTCAACATGCCAAGCGAGAGCTAATTAAGAAGAGAAATTTTTAATTGATGCAATTAACTACATTTTCTTTGAACCATACCAATACCAAAAATGTATTTGAACTATATAGTCAATGACTATCATGATTTTTTCCCACTTTTTTGCTTTCCCTTCTTGAAATTTGGAGGTCAAAAGATACCAAAATATTCTTGTGCAAAAATCACTTTGAACGGACAAAAATTTTCCAGTTCACTTATCACAAAATTAGGATGTTAAATTGAAGTAAACTCAAAATGAATATTTAAAAAAAAAATTAAAAATAAAAAGATCGAAAATATATATATATATAGAACTTTGAATCACATACACAACATAATAATCAAAACAGAGTAAGTGCAAGTTACCTCAAAATTGAGCGAAACATTATGGAGCACATACTTCAAAATTTGTGCACCATATGCACATTAAAATTAAAAAGGACATGTTGGCTTTTTGGCTTTCGAAGGTTATTTTTGTAATTATGAACGTGCCAACAAGGATCAATCAGTCCTTACAGAATTTTGATTGCCAACCAATTATCAGACGATTGTGTTGTAGTTCTTTCAGCCTCAATGAAGAGGACTTTTACTGGTGGCTTGATTTAGGAGAATTTAAGCACAAGAACAGTTAAATAAAGAGCAATTGAAGCATTTCATTAGTGTAAAAAACTGACAATGATCCAAACTTAGCCTCGTAGAGGTTTACAGCGACAATCTACTTGAAACTACTCCTATAAATGAAGTGCAGTGCAGGAATTTAAAGTACAAGAATGTAAAGAATAGGAAATATAAAAACTGGAACAAAATATGTAAAGTAAGACTGGTTTCTTGGATCTGAGTCTGGGGTAGGGCTGGGCATAGGGTTATCCGATCCGCCCAAACCGCCCTACCCGAACCAAACCGCACGCGCGTGGGCGGTTTCGCAAACGCATTAGGGTAGGGTGCGGGTTAGATTTTATATAAATTTCGGGTTGCGGGCGGGTTGCAGGTTTGAACCGCACCCACCCAAACCGCCCGCATTAAATTAATTAATTTTTTTTTTCCCCTCTTTCAAATCTAGCCGTCCATCACCATCTCACTCACCTCATTACAAATAAAACAAAAAACCCTAAATTCGTCTCCCTCACTCTCTCAGTCAGCCTCATCTCAACTCATTTATGTCTCTCTCTCTCACTCTCTCGTTTCGTTATTCTGCACCGATCACTCTCTCTCACTCTCTCGTTGTTCATCTCATCGCACCGATCATCGCACCGCCGATCTACTCACAGGTAAACTCTCTCTCTCAATCTCTGTCTCTCTCTCTCTTGCCCCGATCGTTGATTTTTTTGTTTTATATATATATATATATATATATATCAGATATGTCTCTGATCTGATCTGTCTCCCTCACTCTCTCATCTCATCAGATCCACAGTTTGGTTTTGCATCTCTGCACTAATCGACTCACAGGTAAGCCTCTCTCTCTCTCTCTCTCATCTCTACACCGATCGAATCTGAATGTTTCTTTGGAAATAAATCTGATTTTTTTTTTGGACCAACATATCTGTTCTGTTTGTTTTGGAATCTGTGTTAATCTGTGTTAATCTTTGTTGAATCTGTTCTTAAGAATTTGAATCTGTGTTCTTAAGAATAATCTGAATCTGTGTTAATCTTTTTTTTTTTGTTTTATATATATACAAATTTGTTCTTAAGAGTTTTTGTTGAATCTGTGTTAATCTGAATCTTGATTTCTCAATGTAAGTTTAACATTCGAAAAAATAATTTATTAATTGTTGAATTGTAAGTTTACATTCTGTAAGTTTACATTTTGTTGATTGTTCTAAGTAATTTTATTAATTGTGTATGTTATTTAATTCTGAATCTCCTCCTCAATCGAGGATTCTCCCACTAGAAGATGAAGCTCAAGCATTGGAAGGTCATCTGGATCTTCAACAATTCTCGAACCCAAGGCTCTCTCTCTCCTCTCTCTCTCTTATATAATATATTATATATATTATTCTGGACTAAAGTGAATATCATGCTCTGCTTGTGCTGCAGATTGAACTAGACAATACCCAACTGACCCATATGCTTCTCGATTATACACTGATATACTCCTTCTCCTCTAGCTTTTCTATCTCAAAGGTTTTCTATTTTTTTTTTTTGGGGTTGTGTTTTTAATAATTTGTTGTTTTGTAAAAAACATGTTTTGGAAACCTATAGAGCAGAGAATTCATTTGGGGATGTGGCCAACAAGGTAGTGGCAGATTTTGGTTGTGGGTGTGGTACATAGGTATTGCAAGCTTGCAGCTGCTCTTAGTACAGAAGTCACTATTTATCTATCTTCCTTTTTATTTATGAGTTTTTTATAGTTTTAATTCATTAATTATTAATGTTGGAGCTTTTTAGAAATATAGAAAATAATTCCAAAATAAAGATTGACAAAATGGGAAGAAAAAAATTTAAAATAAATTTTGAAAAAAAATTTATCCGCAACGCCCACAACCGCCCGCACATCCGCAGAACCCTATCCGCACAAACGAGCAAACCGCATTGCGGGCGTTAGCGTAGACTTTTCTCAAACCGCATTAGAGGCGGCGGTCCAAACCGACCGCAAACCGTCCGAAACCGAACCGGGACACCCCTAGTCTGGGGGCTTTTTCTGGGGTCTCCCTGCTATTTATACCCTCAAAGATAACCATCGAACGCCTCAAACTGTCGAATTGCTCCTCCGTGATCACTGATCATGCTGCCTTAAAGTAGTTCCACTACGCCATCATTGCAGTAAGCTTCCCTCCTATATTTGAATTTGATTGAATAACTGCTGAAGCTGCGTCACCTTGCATCCTTGCTGATCCAATGTTACTCGACCACGCAATAGACAAATCAACTGTCAACGTTACGATCAGGATCAAAGATTGAACAGTCTTCCTATTACCTTTACTCTGTCACACGTCGAATGTAATTGGTCTTACAAAAATGTAGTCAACATTACCCCCGAACTAATATAACCCAATACTGGTAATATTAGTGGATCAAGCCTTTCTCCGCGCTTCTTAGAACGTGCAGGGTCTAGATTCTGGAAACACAACCATACTTATGATAATCATTTGCATTAATTCTCTTTCATCTTTGATACCCAATACCTTAGCACTCGATCACAGCTGATACTTCTTCATGGACGAATCAACTTTTTCTCTATTGATCGGGCACATGAAGATCATTGAATAATGCTGCTTCCCTCGAAAAAACTCCACGCATCATTCTAGCACCTTTATCCACCCTCTATATTCAAGTATTGAAGCCTTTGCAAATACCAACCTTTGATTACGACATAATTGCCTTAATCTTGATTCAGAAAGTTACAATATAGACACGAGAAGCTTCCCTAACTCACCTTTACAATCGAACAAATGCTCTCAACCTTTGATTCTGAAGTTGCAAATATGGACTTGGAAACTCTCTTCACAAGCTCTGTATGGATAAGGCTGCCAACGCTTCCTCTCTGGGGTTCTGACTGAGGACAAGCTGTCAACACCTGAGACTTGTGATTTGAAGAGCGAATTAACCTCATTTGTTGATTCACTGACCCTTTAAAGTTTCTTCCTATGCTCGAAGTCAGTGTCTACCCTACGTGCCATTGACCATCGCGTAGTCTGGAGGAGAATCTACTTGTAGCCATGGTAACATCCTCATGCCTACAAAGATAGTGCACGCTGCCGACGCCTAAGAAGAACACAAGGGACAACCCATCATTCTTAGCCTAGAAGCGAAAATTTCTTCCTAATGACTGATGATATATTAATGCCTTTGTCCTTTCGTCCTCGCGCCATCTTCCCATAAAAGAAGCACCACACAACTCTTCA